GCAGAGATAGACCAATTCGACTTTGAGCCCAAGCCAGTGAAGGGCAAGTACAACGTAGTTGCGGATGCTCTAAGTAGGAGATCATACTACTTTGGAGCTGTAGTACACTCTGGATATAGGGAGAGACCTGCAAGAGAAAGTGAGGCAAGCATATGCGCAGGACCCTATCTATAGCGACCTCCTAAAAAGAGTTAGAGAGGCCCCAGAGACTGAACCAGATTACCGCACTACAGACGGGTTGTTGTTTGAGAAGACTAATGTGTTTGATCGCCTGTGCGTTCCCAACAGCGAAGAGATCCGCAGTTTGGTTTTAGGGGAATGCCAAGATACTGAAGGGCATTTCGGTTGGCAAAAGACATTAGCCAACCTGATGCGTGCATATACTTGGCCAGGGATGAAGAATGACTGCATAGAGTATGTCCGCAGTTGTAAAGTGTGCCAGAGAAATAAGTCTACTACACGCGCGCCCTTAGGTCTTCTCAGRCCCTTGCCYATTCCGGAYCAGCCGGGRGACTCAGTGTCTATAGACTTCATGGACACGCAAGTCAAGAGYAGACATGGTAAGAGCCAAGTCATGGTCATAGTCGACCGTTTTAGTAAGTATGCAGTTTTGTTCCCTTGCCTGCAGAGGCACGTACAGATTTAGTAATACAAAAGTTCTTTGACTTTTGTGTTAGTGAGAATGGTATCCCATTGTCAATAGTTAGTGATAGAGATAGTCGTTTCACCAGCCAGAACTGGCAAAAACTCATGAGAGTCTACGGATCTAAGTTGTTAATGTCGTCCGGCCGTCACCCAGAGACTAATGGTCAGACAAAACAGATGAACAAGATCCTACAGCAAGTTCTGCGCATGTACACTAGACCAGATCAGATCAACTGGGATGAGATGTTGCCCAAGGTCGCTAGTGCATAGAACAACAGCGTGCACCTATCCACCTGCCGCACTCCCAATGAACTGCACAAGTCCTTTAGACCGCGCAGACCGTTCGAAGGACTGAACCGGGATCAGATTCACAGATTACCGCCCGGTACCAGGGAGTTTGCGATACAACACGAAAAGGAATTAGCCACTGTTGTTGAGAACCTACGAAAGGCCCAACACAGAATGATAGAGCAGGCTAACAAGCACCGTCGCCCATCACAGTTTCAAGTAGGCGACTTAGTCTGGGTCAAGGCAAATGAATTTGCACCGGAAGAAAACATCTCACAGAAGTTACTGCCTGCATATAGAGGACCGTGGCCGGTTCTAGAAGTTAAAGGCGGAAAGGATGGACCGTCCTACAGCATTGAGATTCCAGCACACCTCCACACATACCCTGTGTTTCATGCTTCAAAGCTGCTGCCATGTGTCACTAGTCAACAGTTCCCTTCGAGGAGATTCATGATTCCACCGGGTATGGATGGAAGCTATGACATAGAGGGCATTGTAGAAGAGGATGTGTTTAGGACAGGAGGTAGAGGTCGTCCCCAGAAACAGTATAAGGTCCGGTTTGCTTATCAGGAACCGGAAGACGACCGCTGGTTCACGAAAGCAGAACTTCTAGACCGCTCCCGACATAGTCAGGGCCTATGAGCGTGGCAAGAAAGGTAAAGGTCACGCCTTGGACTAAAATTTTCTCGGAGGACCTCGAATTTAGGACGGCGGGAGTGAAACGGTTTTCACCTTTTAGCAGTAGCGGATGCAGTACCGAGGGTTCGATCCCTAGACCTCACCCTACCCATGTACAGTATCTGTGTAGGCCCCAAGAATTGAACCTGTGACCTGTGTATTCGTAGGCAGTTGGTAGACCTGTCGTATGTCCATAGACAGCAGGGGTTCGATCTGTAGGTCTATAGCGTAGGAGTCTTAGTGAGTTCCGGAAGCTTAGCTGTAGACCTTCTAGAAGGTAGGCAAGTGGGCAAGTGGTCAAGTGGAGAGGCAAGTGGTGGACTAAACCGCAGTGCAACTGCAGTACAACGTTGGTAGGATAGCGGTAAGTCCACAGTCAGTCAGCGGAAGGTCCAGTCAGTCCCAGTCCGGTCCAGAAAGTACCACAGGGGGACTGTGAGCACCAAGGGCCGATGGCAAAGGGCAGACCAACGCGTTTCTGCAAGGAGGTCTGCAGATGAGCCCGGAGGACGCAGTGGGCAAGAGAGGAGGAGTTAGCATAGCGATAGGTTAGAGGCAGCCATAGCTGCCATACCTGTAGTTAGTAGTGAGTGTGTGTGTGTGCTCGAGTGTTAGAGTGATGCGTATGGGATATCCAGGGTGATCCAGTGTAGTGAGATGTTTGGGCGCTGAAGTCACCATAGCCAATTGAGAGTGAACTCGTATCTGAAAGCCATATCTCTGAGTTTTGAGTGGGCAGCATATCGCCAGTATGCTGCGTTGCTGTTTACATGCATGAAAAGTGTGTTTGAGAACGAGTCTGATTGCAAGGCTGTGATCTTAGCTGGTGGTAACATTTTGGTCCAGGCCTAGAGTTAGTGAAACGGTTTTCACCTTTGCTGTAGTAGATGCAATTTCCAGGGCTCGATCCCCAGACCTCGCCCTTACCCGTGTACAGTATCAGTTGACCCTTGTGTGCTTGAACCCGCGACCTGTCTTGAAAGTTCCCTGTTTGTCTGCTGTAAGTAGGGTGGTCGTCGGGTTTTAAACCGTATGTCTGTAGGTTAGAGGTCTTAGCAGTGGTAGGAGTCGTAGCTGCTACAGTGTTGAAAGGTCAAGTCGTACACGGGTAAGGGCGAGGTCTGGGGATNGTACCACGGAGTGACGAAGTAGGAGGGAGAAGGACAGAGGGGGAGAGACCGAGCAGGGAGAGAAGCGGCCATAGCTAGGAGGTGAAGAGGAGGCCTACAAAAAAAAAAAAAAGAAAAAAAAGAAAAGAAAGAAGAAGACAGCGGGGGAAAGGCGGCGAGGGAGGTAAGGAGGAAGAAGGGGATTGGCCAGAAAGAAGTGCCGACAGCCATAGCTGACCGGGGAGTTGACCAAGAGGGTTGACCGGAGGCGTTGACCGGAGTTGACCGAAGTTGACCGAGGGTCATAGCAGCGTTGACCGACATTGACCAAGGCTGTTGACCAAGGCGTTGACCAAGACTTTGACCAAGCTGGAGTTGGTAACATCTCGCCAAGCCCTTAGTCTGCCCCTTGCCCTATGGATGTGCACATACCCCTTGGTACTTGCTGAGTACAGTCTGTCTGTCTATTCTTTCTGCATTGAGTCTCTTCTGTCCTAGGTCATAGAACCTTGTGGATGAAGGATAGGGCCTTGCTGCCAAACCTGCACGGGACTTAGTAGGACTAATCTCTACTCTGGTATCTGGAGACCTGGGCATGAGCGGCGAGCGCTCGTTAAACAACTCGTCTAGCCCAATGACCGGTACTGTCCGGCAGGTCTGCTCAGTTTCAGTGTAGAGGGTCCGAACTCWGAGCTGCAGGCTGAAACGGAGGCCGTGTCAAGTGTTGAGGGCCTGTTGGAACCACTCCCCTACCAGACCAAGTAAGGCTGATGATCTGTGTCTGACGACTCGACTGTCCCGGGGGATACGAACCCTCCCAAGGACCGGTACAGACAGGCGGGCTGCTCGGTGTGGCACAGTAGGCCGGAAAGGATGAGTTGTGGGTTGGAAGCACAGGCAGAGCCAAGCTGATCACGTCGTCCTGTCTGCGACGTTAAAGAATTCTTGAGTAGTTACAGGGGATCTCCTTAAATGCCTCCTGATCAGCCACTGGTTCAGTAGTGACAGCCATAGTATAGGTCTAGGCTAGAGATCCTAGTTGGCAGGATCCCTGTCAGGATTCTGTGAGTCATTAGATTGAGTCAATAGGTTGTTAGTCAGGGGTCTGAGTCTACGTGGTGAGGTTTGGAACCACGAACCCGGTTGTACACTTCTCACCATGGTGGACCTGCGTAGTGGGAAGAGCACTAGCCCCTATACCGCTGAGCAGCAAGAAAAGATGGCCACCTTAACCAAAGAGAATAAGGAGAGGAAAGAGCGTGAGAAGCAGGCGAAGCTAAAGGCTATCGCAGACGAGCGGGCGGCGAAGCTGAAGGAAGTGGAGGAGGAGATGAAGAAGAAGGAGCAGGCTGCTGAAGAAGAAGCGGCAGCAGAAGAGGCAAAAGAAATGATGAGGATTGAAAGCGGAGAAGGAAGTAGTGGCACGAAGAAGGACACAGACGCGGAGATTGAAAAGAAGATCGGCGAGTGGGTTGCTAACTTATCGTTGGGGGAAGACGAAGAGGCGGAGTCATACGTGAATGAGGATGAGAAGGCCGCATTGGCCGCTGAGCTAGCAACCATGACGGATCCTATGGAGCGAAGAGAGCGGGAAGACGAGCAAAAGTTGCAGTGGAAGCTGAGGATGAAGAGGGAGAAGAGGAGGAGGAGAGAAGAGGTGAACAAGATGACCGCAGCAATGGCAAAAGTGCAGGAGTGTAGAGCGGAGGTATTGGCCCAGCCAGATGATAAGGCCAAATGGGACAAAGTACTGGGCTACCTAGAAGTGTTGAGTAAGGCCTGGATGGAGGAGCGCCAGGCTAGTTGGAGTCAGGATGTAGCGTTGAGTGCCATGCGGTCAGGATTTAGAGAGTTTGCACGCGAGATCGTCACCCACATTGGGGGCGAAGTGAAACAGTTGAGGGACAACGTAGGGAAGTACTGCAAAGGCGCCATTGAGGGTGCCAAAGCCATAGCTGCTGCAGAGGGCGAAGGTAGACCCCGCAAAGAGCCTGTAATGCTCAAGTTTCCAGACGCGTACGGGGGTAAGAAGGAGGAAAACTTTGACAACTGGGAGGCCAGTGACAACTGGGAGGCCGGTTGTGAAAACAACCTGGTTGCATATTCCAAAGTCACTCCTCTTTCCCAATTCCTCAAGTTCCTCAAGGAGCGGTTCGCTGACCCAACACGAGGCATTAGAGCCTCTGATAAGCTTCAAACGATCCACTCCCGACAGTGGAGGAGTGCCAAGGCACTCAAGGGTACCATGGACGACTTGGTAGCCGTCCCGGACCACGGGGTCACTGAGCCCCAGCTGGTCCAGTTGTTTTATCGTGCCATTCCAGAGGCCCTACGCGGGCATTTCTTTGACAAATCT